ACCCTGGGGCAAAGGAAAAAATTATTTCATCCTCACAGAGGGTCAGTCTACACAGCTCAGGTGTAGATTGACTACAAGTGCTACCAAGTGCAGCGGAGCTGCCGTAGCTTCGCGCTTTGAGAAAGCGCAACTTAGGTCACCGACCTTTCGTTCTATACTTAGAACTTGTACGAGTTTAGCGGATCGCAATCCGCTTACTCCAAGAATAATTATTGCCTTAACCCAAGACTAATTAACCCTTCCGTTTAAAATCCAAAGCTTACTTTGTTGATTTTTATATGCGGCAAAGCCGCCTAATTTTGAATGTATAGATTTTCCTAAATATTTATAGTAGAATCTAAATACATGTAATATTCCTGGCTACCCAGCCACGTACCGCATTTTAAATTGGGTGCAATCATACACGCCTATCTCGTGTGACACTCCCCCCTGTTACTAGGGTACGTGTAAACCCCCATTACAATCCTCGTGCAAGCCATGTCGGTCAGCAAAGACTTTTGGTTTGGGTTTTGGTGAGACCTCCAGTGATGGCTACATACCTTGTCTGGCTTTGAAGCACCCATGTTGCCAAGTTTTCATCGAGCTGCGGGTGATGTGCAACGCGGGGCGTTTGGCCGAAAGCTCAACATCTGTCATGGCCGCGAGCTCATGACTCTTTTTAAGGATGCTGCTAATAGCAGATTGAGTGCTTCCAACGCCAAACCTTTGAGTAGCCCATGTCGCAATCCACTGCTTTTAAGCCTTTTGATTTTAGACCTCGAGCCTCTGCGCATTTGCTAAACGTGCTGGTGGCATATTTATTGTAAATGTAATTTTGCAATGCAGTTCACCTTTTCGAAAAAAAATCGCATGAAAATTAGATAACTAATAACCTTGACTAATGCATAGATATTTTTACCGCATTTATTCGCTATAAGAGGGACGACTGTATATGCATTCTGGAAGCCGTGAGAAGTATTCATTTGTGAACAAGTTTGATCAGAGATTATCATTCAAATTCACTACAACTTAGGATTTACCGTAATCAATTTTCGTGTTTATTTCAGCACTTATACGCATATGTTATTAAGTCATCGGATTTAGGTATACAACGAGCATTGCCTGATATTTTAGTGAGTCCCAACGTAATCATCGTGTGTAACACATAGTCACCTTATCATTTTGCAAGCGGTATAAGAATTTATATGCTTTTCGTAGGCTGTTGTGAATAGGGAATTTACGTCAGAAAATACAAGGCAAATAAAATTTCAATGCTCGCTATACTTATTTAATGGCGTACAGCTAGCTTAGTTGTACGGAGGAGTGAAAAAATCTGATACCCTGCTTTTGAGCGCATTGGCATTGAAGCAAGCCGAACAATTGGTGGATTTTATTCTCACTCACACGAGATGGAATAAGCTACTCGCAACCGTTACATGAGTGAAGTGTTCTGGTACGAAAATGGCCTAAGACTATTGCCTGATTTTTTTGGAATGACAGAATTCACGATGAGGCTTCATTATCTTTTCGCTACCGGCTTTAGCGATCACTAAATCTGAATCCTATCCTGATTTCATCCTTCCTGCTTTGCACGCGCATACATCATTTCTTGAATAAACGGCGTTCGAAATTTCAAGTACTTATAGGTATGATGAAATGTCACACGTTGCGAATCAGTTGACTTCAAAGCATGTAAATTTCAACAATTTTCTTTGCAGTGCAGACCATTTGAAATTGTGGTTTATATAACGCCGCAGTGCAGGGTCGCAGGGTAATACGGCTTATGCAAGCAGGATGAAGCACGTAATCGTTTAATTTGTGAGCTGATCATTACAATTATCTCAGGATATATAAATTGATGAACGATAGCACCAGTCATACTTGGAAGTAGAGTGCTGCAAGAGCGGGTGACACAGATTGGGACCAACCATGCACATACCGCTTGCAAAGTGGGTGGCATTTGGCTAAGTCAGATGTTAGGTATCATTTTCAGCTAGTTAACATTCAAAGTGACTCTTTAGTTTAAGCACCTTAAGAACGTAGAGGATAGCCCATACTTTGTACCTTGACTAGCGTGGTCTTTAAGGGCCAAAGCTTTTGTGTGCGAGGTGCACGGCAAGCACAGAGTTTTCTGAACACAGCCTGCCCTTGAAAGCTATCTCTATAGTGTAGTATTATATCATCAGGCATCATATTTTATGCTGGAAAGCTTCTGGAGTCCGCGATGTTCGAAAGCCGTAATATGGCACGGCGGTGGCATTGATTACGGCCTGAAGGGTGATAGTAAAGCGGTCTGTAAATGGTGGAAAAGTCGGGAAGGCATCATGGCAGAAAAATTTCGCGTGGCGCTTGCCTGGAGGCCGCCGGAAGTCGTCTAGTAGTTTGGAGGGCTTCCTGAAAGACAAAGTAAAGAACAAGGCGACAATTACACAATCATTGATGATGCGCTTGATGAGATTGGGATCGTAGCTGAGGAATTCTATCTTCAAAAAGACTACTTTTTCGGCTTAGTTTGGTCCCCAATCTTGAAGTACTGACCAGATCTCAGAATTATATTGTTTTTGGATGCAAGTTAGCCGAACTGTGTTCGGAAAATCCGTCAATTATTGAAAGTTACCATTTCATATCTTTATGAGATGAGGACGCCAAAGCTGAGTTTGACTGATGCGCTAAGTATCAGTGATACCGAAATCAAAGTCGCAACCTTGGTCCAGAGAAATTTTAGGATCGGACAATAGGTGTGAAGAATTTTGCGTGATGTATAGAAACGTGGAGAGTACAGTTGAGTATATTGCCCGTGGATGTCAAATGGACACGAGCGGTCTCTATACAGCTAGCCGAGGGTCGTAAGCGCGCGCTGCGCAAAGTAAACAACATCAGCATCGCCGTCTTGCTGCAGCGCCGTCAAGCATGGAACGACAGTAGCGGAGCACGCTTCTGTGTCTACTTTCAGCCCGAGTACCTCCAGTGTTTTAGCTACGTTAAAACGGATGTTAGGAACCGGATCCTTCATCAGCACGGAAACCCAAAAGCCATTAAAATCGACTGAGGATAGCAAGCAAATTGAGCAACACGAAAGCCATAAACTTACCTGAGCGAGCTCAATTACCAGCGGAACGAGCAGTGTTTGGATTGTTTCAGCCGTCATCGCTTCACTCAGTACTTTGACGGCATACAAAGACGTCAAGCGATGCAAAAAGTTAGCATTTGAGTGCATCGTCACGATCCGCGGCATGACACTTGTTCTTGCCCAGTCTACACCAAAGTGCTCAGTAAGATTTTTTAAGTTGATTGTAGCCGCTTCACGGATAGAGAACACATTGTCCACCAGCCAGGCCATGCAAAGCTGCGAAAGCTGTTCCTCAAAATAGTCACGTCCCAACTGAGCAGCCAGCAGCGGAATATACTCTATTATCGCTAGTCGGATACGCCACTGACGATCTTCTGCAAGATGCACAATAGCAGGCAAGAGCGACTGTGACAACAGCTCAATTCCAATGATCTACCCGGCAGGTATCCATCAGCTAAACACCACAATAATTTACAGTAAATTTGTCAGCATCTTCACTTACAGCGTTGCCTTCTTCCAAATTTGAGATCACATTGAGGCGAACTTCTGAGTTTTGATCATTTAGCAACTGCGACAAATGTAAGCGCATCAGCATAGCACCTCAACGATACGTGAGAAATATACTCACAAGCAGGAAGAGTGGTAGAAGTAGCTCAATGGTAAGATCCCGGCCCAAAAATGGAGCAATCTTCATAACTACTGAAGCAAGAGCAGAACGCACGTGGTCTGACATGTCGCGTGCGAGACGCTGAAAGCATGGAACAATCTTCTCCACAATCTTTGGAGGCTGCAGAAGCTTTACAACACCAAGGATTTTCGACGTAGCCGCAGTGCGCACTTCTGCTTCGCTATCCTCAAGCAACGACACCACCGAGTCACAGAAGGTGGAATTAATTGTCTCTGCATTCAAGGCCTCACAGACTTCTGAGAATCGATTGGCTACAGACCAACGTACTCGCCACGAGCTATCACGCGCAATTTCAAAGATAGCTGGCAGCACCTGTGTCAAAAGTACATCCGCCGGAACGAGACGTGCCAACGCCACAGCATTATCGATTGTGTGTATTCGAACAGAGTCTTGACGGTCTGTAGCCAGCGACAAAAATAGTGGAAGTATATCTCCACTGGCACCAACGCCTTCCATCACCGAAGCAAAGCCTCCTAAAGCCGCAGACGCTGCCTTGCGCACCATTGGCGTATCATCACGGCAAAGCTGGCCAAACATTCCTCGAAGCTCGGCCTGAAGGTCAGCTGAAAGTTGCGTGTAGCCCACCTGAAAAAGATTGCACGATGCAATGCGCGATGTGAACCAGTCGCGTGTGACGAGACGCCGCAGGACGGGTACAAAATGCTCGACGACGTGGTGAGACTCTAGGAGCTCCACTATCTTGCAGATCGAGCGCACTGCCATGTCGCGAACACAAGCTTCGTCTACCGTCGCCAGCGACTCGAGGGGTTTAAGCAGCAAATATGCGTGCGCTGGGCCGCCTACAACATTAACAAAGTTGCCGAGCTCTTCCGCCATCACAAGCAGTACCTCATCTTCGTCATCTAACGAGTCTAATAGAAACAAATTTGTGCATAAATTATCAACACAGAAGACTCAAACAGGTAAACCTTGTACCATTCATAAAAGGAAGTAACTCGCTTTGCGTGCGTTCAGGACCTAGTGCCTCAGCTGTAAATAAAAGCATATTAGACCTTTATGTGAGCTCAATGTAATACGAAGTTGAGACTAGACTTACCGATTATGCGAACCTGGCGGATTGAATTTAACCGAAGTTGAACGTCTTCATGCTTTAGTTCGTCTACAAGGATCGCAATCGGGTATAGGCTGTTGTCTTCTGCTATATGTTGTGTTATAATCGAAGAAGTCCTCACAATCACTTGAGTACCTACCAGTAATTGTCGCCGCCATTGGAGCACCGTCTCTCCAATTTTGATTTATACCACCAAAATTACTTTTTTTCAGGGCGCTCGTGTGTTACAGTCTTAACTAGACAGTCTGCGCCTGGATTATGTGAGTTTAGTATCAAAAGGCAACAATATTGCCCGCAGGGGGAAGCACTTGCCTAGCCGACTTTTTGGTAGAAGTGTTTTACAGGATCGCGGCGCTTAGCATATAATATTGGCCAATGAACGAGTACAACAAATAAGCGTAAGAAAACCAAGCCCATTGGATGCGAGACAAGCGTAAATACCTAATAAAAGTTAGTGTACAACAAGCCAAGCGCTGCCCAATTTACCTCATGTCCACCTTTGCCCTCTCATTCATAATATCGTGCAACCGTCCGAATACTTTGTAGTAAATCAGGTTTTGCTAGAAGATCGTGATGGACTACATATCAGGGATTGTCAATCCCACAGCAGCAAGAAGAATATTATTGCTGGTGGCTGAATAAATTTCTTTTAGCCAGCCAAAATTTGACTAATTCACCTTAAAGCAGCAACAAAAAGGTTTATATCACAACTTCGAGACGCCGCAGCTATCAGCTAAGCAACGCAAGCTGCACAACTGTGTACGATAGTCACCACATTGTGATATTCTATATTAGTACGAGATATAATTGGTGAGCGAATGCTGACCAGATGACGTAAATGTCTTCTGGCATTTATGCTCAATTGTGTACGATGCTGGTTATATCTGCCTCTGTATCGATTATATTTGTTGCCGTCGGTAAGGCCAGTCGATGAGCACGCAAATAGAGCCTGCATGTAGCGATTGTCTATCAATGCGCCAAGTCGCGGGTTTCTTTAGCTGTGAGAGGCTGCTTCATCAAAGCGTTTGAAGAGCGCTTGCCACAAACAATTTTGTCAAACATGACGCTGGCTTCAGGGTCAGCAAGCATTTCAGCTACACAAGCCACATGGTCAGCTCGCTTCCAGCCTTTCCTGCTCATGTCTTAAGCACACTTTCACCTTCGTGCTTCCGATCTGTCTAACAATTTTTCGACTAACAGACATTATACAACGAAGATGCCGGGCACTTTGCACAGAGGAGGCTTTGACTCAAAGCGTCCGGGCTAGACTAACGCACGGAGGTCATATGTTCCACACAGAAGCGAAACTAAGACTTTTTAAGTAGTTTTGTACTAAGTTTGCTCTGCTATATCAAAAGTGACAGATATTAAAGGTATCTGCAGCGGGGCTGTCGTAGCTCTTTGCCTGGAGGAGGCTTGCTAAGGTCACCGAATTACATTCTATACTAGAACCAGTACGAGTGTAGCGTATCGCAATCCGCTAACTCCAAGAGTATCTAAAATTTTTAATCAAGGCAAATAAACTCTTCCATTCAAAATTGAGACTGCATTTATTTGTTTTTCCAAATTAAAAAGTAAAATCTAATTAATTTGAATAAATACTGGCAGTCCCGCCACGTAGTGGTTTCTTGTTATGTTGTAGCCACACCTTTGTGTGATTACACCGACTTGTGTAATCCACACCTTTGTACGGTCACACTTTTTTGTGTGAAACCATTTTGTATGACACCATTTTGTACTGTTCCGTCGGCTGTACTTTGCTGCAAGCAGACGCCGAGGGATGAGATCGGGTGATCGCGTTCATATCTCACCAGCATAAGGCTGCAAAAGAACTACCCAGTTCACGACAAAGAATTGCCTGCGATGAAGTATGCACTTGTCAAGTCCAGGGTGCACCTGCTTGGCTCCAACCCGTTTGTGATCTATACAGATCATGCGTCACTATGCACTGCGACTGAGCTGCCTCACCTATTGCAGGGATGGCCAGGTAACTCTCCTTCATCGTAGAATATAACTTCGAGGTGAAGTATAAGCCAAGACAGCAAAATGCTCTGGCATATACATTATCACGTAGACCAGATTATGAGCTGGGTCATGTCACGACGGTGACGTCGTCACTGACGGTTTTGATACGCGCCGCATACGCGCGTTGATGACATGTGTGTAGCTACTACAGGCTCTCGGGAGCAAGGAGTTAAAAAAACTCGGACAAGATATTGTCGCTGTAATCGCGCACACGGTTACATCGACATACGTTGAATAACGGGTTGCTGTCTTATAGCACCGATTCGTCGGATACACCGCGAATTGTGGTTCCTCACGTTGAGGATTTGAAAAACTGTATCCTCTATGAGGCCCACGACACCTCACTCAGTGGTCATCTTGGCCGTGAGAAGACGTACAGCTCTGTGGGTTGCCACTACCAGCGGTCCAAGCTGTACAAATGGACAAGCACATGCGTGTGCACGTGTGAGATATTTCAGAGGATGAAGTACTCTCCGAACGCGGCGGCGGCGCTGGATAGTTTACCGGAACACTTCGGATGTTGGCAGTCCGTGAGCATGTGCTTTGTGTTTGGCTCGTAGAAGGACTCGTCGGGAACACGGTTGTGGTGGTCTTTGTGGACCGTTTGGGCAAGATGGCTCATCCTGCGGCAGTGCCGGACACCATCGACGGTGTGGGTACAGCAACGATGTTTGTCGATCGTACCTTTCGACAGCATGGACTTCCGGAGTCAATTGTCTCTGATAGAGACCTGCGTTTCACTGGGAAGTTTTGGTCTACAATCTTCAGGGTGCTGGGCACCAAGTTAACTGTTTCAACAGCGGACAATCCGCAGACCAATGGTTAGATCGGGCGCGTGAATCGCGTCGTTGAAGACGTTCTTCGCAGCGTCTGCGCTGAGATGCCGAAGCGCAGACGCGGAATGACTGCCCAGACGTCTT